TTCTGGTATCTTTAGTATATACTAGTTTTTCGGTATTGCACCACAGAACGTGATAATTTACGGTATGTGATAACGAAGTAATTTACTTCGTATAGGAATATGATTTTCCACATTTTCGGTATCAGGGACATTGAAAATGATTTTTTATGTCGAAAATTCACCGTTTCTTATTTCTGTCGAAAATTCACCGAAAATTCGCGGCAGCACTACACAACTTTCTCTATACTACATATGTAGTATGCAAGAAAATAAAAACATATTCGGTAAATTTCTCTTTCTTGCGATAAAACGTTTCATCTTATTTTGATGCATTTCATCTGATATCATCGTCCCACAAGTGCTATCAAGTCAAGCTGATTGTGAGTAAAACACGCGAGCACTTTCGACAAAACTGCCTAACATGTGGCTGTAATGGTTAGTCGATATTGTTTCCGAGAAGCGTTATTGGTGGCGCTGCTCGTGACCATAGTTGAGATGTGCTGAAACAGCTTCTGATTCGAGAAAGTATCAACGCAACAAGAACCTCTAAAAACGTAACTGCTTCATAAATATTTTTGAATTGCGCTGTTACGCCATTCGAATCAATGGTACAGCCGCTCAGCTCGAAACGGTCCAAACGGGGTACTTTCGAAACGCAAAGAAGTTGCTCTCATGAGTAAAGATTATGTCATTTTTTGAAACATTAGCCAGAGGGGATTATTTTTCGGATCATTCACTAGCATATAATTACAATAACATATGATTTTATATTCAACTTACATTTTCCTTTGTTTATATCTGACCGATGAAAACACGGTGGTCACTCGACATAGTAAGAAGATTGGAAATGCTATGGACCACAATAGCAGCAGACTGCCTAAAATGGAGAGGTAATTCACACACTCGACGAAGTTGATATATAAAAAAGATAACACAAATAAACAGGAACAGGCTCACAAAAATAATGAGCTCAAAGAAAAGCGACCTGTAAGTGAAGTGATAATGAAGTGATAATTATAAATGAACTAAAAGAATGGATCAGGGAGAAGTTAACATGAAAATAAGAGTAAAAATAGTAACTAACAAATCTAGCTTATTTTAAAGTACCTTACAATGAAAGAGGCTTTTGTCCTACTAAGGAATACGAACAGACTAATAATAATAATAATAATAATAATAATAATAATAATAATAATAATAATAATAATAATATCTCATATCACTTAATACTTTCAAGCAACTGATCTGTGAATGAAGGCTGGCAGAAAGGCAAGAGGTGAAAACTCCATAATTTAATTTACTCCTTATACTATAGTATAGGGAGGCAAAGTATTGGAATCTCTTGGAAGCTCGAATTTTCAATCGTTAAATACTTGTTTAATGGTTTAAGCTGTAACTGGGCACACACAGCATTAAGATACATTAGTTAGTTTCAAAGATGGTTAAGTTCGCTACAGATGGCGAAGACATTCGCGTAGTTTTGCACCCGAAAATATTCAATGTAAGGATGCGTGGACATATGACGCAAAACTGTCATATTAGAGGCTTTTGAGCACAAAATCGGTAAACACTTCACGAGTAATATCTAGTTGGGCCATTCTAAGGATCATTAAGATAATTGAAATAGGCCTTAACACGCGGGAAGGCAATATGTAGGCTATTTTCCGACAGAATGAAGCGTTGTCTCATTCAGCCAAAGACTTTGGATTATAGTAGGCATTCAGCGTGTTAGTTTTCATAGTATTATAAAAAATATGCGTTTTATAACGCTAAGAGGAGGAAAATTTCGACATGCCGTACATTCATACTAATTTTAGCATTGAAATTCATACCTGAAACTTTCCTGCTTAAAATGTAAATTTTCATAGTTTGTTTGATTGTTTGTTTTTCTTCTTATTTTAGACTACATTTATTATCTTGTTATTCAATGCATATTTATTTATTACTTATAAATGAATAAAGAGTTTAAATCACTGAATAACTTTCTGCATAAGCTGCATAATATTGGTTAATTTAAGAAAAGAGAGAACCTGTTTTCTCACTCTACAGCTTAGGAAACTATGTTCCTTCACATTCTTCTGTGAATGATTCTACATTGCATTAAATTCTTGTCTAGTTTGTACTTCAAAACTTAGTTGACGGTTTGTCTGTAATGTCAACAATACAATGATTTCCTAATGTCTATCTAATAAGTAAGACCACACATTCATAAAAAGTAAACATTGACCACCAAAACAACATTTTTCATTGCCGTTTCTATAGACGAGTTCGTTCCCACTACAGTTATTGAAGCGGATGTATTCAAGCCACACGTTCAGTTGATGTTGAATCACGATTGGAACAGAAGTTGCCTCGAGCTGTCGCTGTTCGCTGGCGCCGACGCTCACATCCACATCACTCGCGGGTAGTCATGTATATGCTCTCTGCCACATAATGCATGTTCATGTTTTTCGTATCTCGAGAAAGAAAGGAACTTTGAACAGTCAGTAGCCTTTTAAATTAGATATACCGCGGCGAAAGATGTGAGGCACAGTTTGTAACACCGCCTCGTCTCTATTTAATAGCTTCTTTTCCCACCTCACTTCAGCCTAGCACAAAAACGTACAAATAGTTTGTAATATTTTATGTAACGTTTTTGCCTGAAGTATCTCAGTGATATGGATCAAAACATGAATCGACTAGATATAACTAGAGCTGGAGAGCCTCGGTCGGGAGCGCTAGATATTCGAGGCAGAATGCGAGTATTCCCTGGCTAGTTATGAGAGAGAAAATACTTCTCTAAACTAATTCCCTTTTAAACAAATTTAAATGATCACGGCGCATTATACATTAAAACATAATACGTAATTTTTATATATCTCCGCTTATTCTTGACATTTTGGCATTATATCGATGTAAATTAGCAATATATTAATATTTTTAAACCAGCCTTTTCAACTGTGCTCAAGAATCTCAAATATTGGCTACTTTCTACTAGGCAATACCCACCTTGTTGAATATAATTTATCACGTTTTACACCTAATAAAATGTAAAAGTTTAATTCTATTAAAACTGTACCTATGTTTACAAACTGAATAAATATTTGTTGCCGACAAAACGCAGTAACGCTTATTTCCGTTCATTATAAAATAAAAATATTCATAAAATAAGGAACCGCAACCAATATAACTCACAAATGTTTATAGTCTCTTACAGTGAACGTATTTTCCAGCTGTAAATATAAAAGGAATATTTCATTATCGTGGTAAGATATTTATTCTCATTTCGATCGTTTCAAAACATACGTTCTGGCAATCATTCTCGTTTACTCTCTTCGTAGGTCAGGGGTCAGGGTACGAACTAGGTCTAGCTTCATGCTGCATTCTGAGAAAATGTAACGCAAAGTAATAAAAGTAACTTTGCTACGATGCGCGACAGATGCGCTATCTTCTTAGGCAGGCCAGATGAGATGAGATTAGAATATTTTTTTGGAATGTAATACGACTAATATGTGACAAATGTTTTGAAACATTAAGTAAAGTTTTAACAACAAAAAACAAACAAAAAATACACTCCCGGCCAAGAAAAGTGATTCACGACGATTCCATTCACACGTATCTGTAACATGTAGAACAGCGAGAGCGACGATTACGTACAGTAAGAAGTACTCGCATTGCCGCACAGACGCGCTCGACTATCTACCAACTGACGGTATTCGACAGAGGCCGCGTTGTGGAACTTCATAAGGCTGGTTGGTCGTATATGGCAATTGCCATGCACGCGGGCCATTCCGAAGTCTCAGAGGCGTAATGTTGGAATCAATGGGTACACGAGGGCACGCATGCATGTCGTGTAGACTCGGAAAGGAAATATAACCCTAACATGGGAAAGTCTGTGCCATTCTGTACCACCACGAAGTTTCAATTATGGTTCTTATAGTGTAAGTAGGATCTTGTGTTTGTCTGTATGGCCTAAAGGCCCCTTGCTCCAATTCCCAGTCTTCCTTTACCTCTGTCCTCAATTTTACTTCCACTATCTTGAGTCTAATTTCCTTGTGCAGGTTGACAAACAAATCTCCCTGTAATTTTCATAGTTGGCAGTGCTCCTCTTTTCATATAAAGGTACTATTGTATAGTACATAGTGCTCTTATCCATGTCCTTCCCGTTTTCCTGATATACTTTATCATATTTGGTGATATGCCATCTGGACCAACTGCCTTCCCAACTTGCATTCTTCTCATTTACAACTTTTCCTTTATAGAATCCTCCTCCACCTCTGTTCCTCTCCTGATGTCTCTCACTCACCAGGTTCGATTTGCCTTCCCCCCTATTTCCCAATTCCCAGTGGCTCATGGAGCCTTTGACTGTCACTCAACCCCCTCCAATCACCAGTGGCTGTCCTGTTATTTTCAATGAAGATGTTCTCATAATACTTCCAGTTTTTTTAGTTCCTCTATCTGTTCAGGCTTTAAGTTGTTATTTGGATCCCTTATGCTTCTGACATTTCTCCTGTTTCCCTCTTAATCCATTTACTACCTGCCAGAAGTCTTTCTTGTTCTTATGGTACTTTCCCTCCAATTCTGTTGCAAACATTTCCCATGTCTCCTCCCTTTGCCTTCTTCACTTTTAGTTTTGCTCTATTTCTATTTTCTATGTACTTTTTCCAATCTTCTTGCAGTCTTGAAACCATACATGCAGCATATGCTTTCTTCTTCTTCTTCTTTACCCATTCCTTTACCCTCTCTCCCCCTCCCCCCCCCCAAAGTCACAATTAGTTATTTCTTCACTTTACTGTGTTTACCAAGACTGGCCTCAAAAGAATCTACTCGGGTCTATTCAGACAAGATACATCCATCCGCCCATTCTAATTTTTGGGTACAAAACTGTGTGCATATCCATGCCACCTGCACCTATCTTCACCATGTACTACTATATCAGTACTAACAGACCAAAATCTTGAGATGTGTACAAGTTACAGCTCAAGCAGTATCCCTCCTGTACTACAATATAGAAAGGAGAAGTAATAAAATGGTACATACAAATACAATAATTTTATTTAATGAACATAATTTATTTTGCTATCAATGACAGAAGTTCTGAAAAATATTTTCATATTTCCTCAATGTGAGGGTGCAAATAAAAATGTACAACAAGATTTACAAAATCAATCATTATAAATACTGAACTAACACTGTAACAAGATAAATTAAGTATCCAGTACATCACATCACAATCCCAATGGACTGCAGATACACAAATAAATGCAACATGCATTCTCACCTAAATAGAGGAGAGTGTGATTTTGGCAGTGTTACAAATGAAGACTTCGTACCACATTCAAAGAACTAAATTAAAATTAATTGTGAAACTATTGTGAAAGTATTGAGAATAAGAATTCCTAAATGAATCTATGAACAATTTTCAGAGTAACAAACAGGTTCTCTTCATGCATTTCAGAATACATTTCAATAATAGTAACATGAACAGGCACCAAATTGAACTTCTAACCAGTTCTTATTTACTTAAAATGAGATTTTGAATATAAAACAGGTTTCATCAAAACATTTAATAAGGCACACAAGATTATCACGTACTCCTTTACCTCATAATATCATTTGATACACATGAAAAAAAAAATTCATGTGTAAGCATCTCTTTTAATCACATACTTCAAAAGTAACACAACCAGCACCATTCTTTCAAAAACTGCACCATAATCTATAAGAGTTAACTACTTTTGCAGTAGTACTAATAATGGATTTTGCTTAATCTATTTTTAAACAGTTGTCTGCAAATTAATCTACAGAGCTGGAATAAAAACTAACATGATCTAATGAAAGTGCATTAAGACAGTAAGTTCAAAATATTCTACAAAAAGTCTTTAATGAAACCTGCTTTTCTTACAATAAACAATTAAAAATTTAAATAATGAGATTAATGCATTGTATGAGTAGACTGATTATACTGCACAATAATTTCTCAGGATTCACAATTAATTTCACAAGTTGTCAAAGTAGGAGTTGTCAAGACCCTTCTTCCTTGATTTCGCATTTTGAATGCCAGTGAAACCTAAACAAATGCAATTTGTTAATAAAAATCAAATTTAGGAATGAAAAACACTATTAACATTGGAGACACAATCAAATAATCCCAAATAAATTATAGAGGGGAAAAATTAAATTTATTTAATGAGAACATCCAGGATTGCAATGTGACCGGTTTCATTACACACCTATTTTGCGACATGAACTCCACCGCCCTGAATCAGGTGTGCTATCCAACAATTTCTTTGCCAATTGTAACTCATTTACCCCTCCTGATATGTTTACTGTATTGGGAAGAGGAGACAATGACACCTGCAAATAACAAAACATTAACTACACCAAACACATATTCTCCCACTTTCTACAGACTGATGAATATATGTGTAATGTTAAATCAATTGTTGTGGTGAATTCAACACAGCCAAGTATTGATTCTTGGAAAGGACAGCATCCTCTGAAAACCGCTGGCCTGAATTCATTATTCTACACCAAAATACACAGGGGCATTGTTCATGGAACAAAAAGTGAAATTTCATGTGCAGATGCTCTGATAAGGAAGTCCAGACACTAGTTGCCAAAATAAAGGCAAAAAAAGGTATTAAAATTAGTGATGTAACAACAGCACAGCACTTTCTTTCTTTCTTGATCTGTATTAATTACACAATATTATAAGGTTACTTAACCCTCGTACCATATCTGCTTGTTTATATCAAGTACTATACCTGGGGTCTTTTTGGACCCCAAGCTTTAGTGTCAATTGGAAGTGGAAAACATGCATGTGTACGACAACCTGGTCTAAATAATTGATTTTATAAAAGAATACCTTTTTTAAGTTAATTTCAATAACCTAATATATATAATTGATTCATATTAAATATTTCATAAAAAGAATAACCTCCAGCATATGTACTCGTAGCCTCATTGTTGATTCATAATGTTCTAGAAATATTTACAAGATTTTGTAAAAGTTATTTTGAGATAAATAAAATGCAAGACAAAAATTGATGGTATCAGACATATTTTTTTGAAGTTTGACAATTTGTTTGAAATGAGAATGGGAAAATAAAAGACCCTACCTTAGACACTTTCATATGGCACCTTTTGTGTAAAAGTATGAAAAAAAACGAATAACTCTCTAATACAATTTGGAAATTATGTGAAAATGCTTTGGTACCTTCTTAATAAGTGCACAAAGGCATATCTCGAAGACTGAAACTGTCCTGCAAATATTTAGGAAGATAATAACAAATTAATGATTGTGGGGTCCAAAAAGACCACAGATATGGTACAAGGGTTAAACCACCGAAAGAGTTTTCATTTTACTTTCTCACTACTGCTTAAGCAGTATAGGGAAAGTATTGTAATGTTGCTATACCAAGAATTGATTGATTACAAAACGTCTGTGTCGGCTTGTGGTCAACGCTAGAGCCTAAACCGTTCAGCCAATTTTTTTCCAAAATTGATAATCCCAAATTTCGTATTACATTTTCGTATTTATTAAATTGTCGGATAAAGTAAAGAATGCTTTAGGGAATAGTGCAAGTCTCATTTTTGTTGAAATACCCGATTTTTTGAATTCTTTCAGCACTGTCCTACAACTAAAATATTGAAGATCAAGATTAATTTTCCTTTACGATATCTATTCTTTAACAACAGATTTTAAAATAAGGGTATGTACTATTTTTTTTAAATCTGTTTAGTTCTTGCGAAATTTTGTGTGAAACATAGGATTTTTTAATTTTTTTTCTTTTCTGAAAACAGCACCAACTTTTTTTTTTAAATTTTCTTCTCTTGATGACAAAAAATATGGTGCTAGTCACATTTTTGGCCAACTCTGTATTTTCAAAAATTGCATGAAATTGTTGCTTTAAAAACACAAAATTGAAGATATAAATTTTTGTCTTAAAGTAAATCTCTCCTAAACAATCAGCTCTTTAAAAAATATCAGGAACTGTTTTCTTTTTTTTAACTAGTGGCGCTACAACAGCAAATACTTTCTTGCATTATTTGTAACTGCTTGCATTATTTCCATCACATGGCAAGCAAGGATAATTTCACACATAAATTGGACATTCAGAAATAAAAGCCATCCACCATATCACATCCACATATGCATTCAAAATGATATCATTACCTCATGCATATCTGTATACTTTACAACGTTAATAACCTTGAATATAGCATTTTATTCATGGAGAACATTGCAACACTAACATTAAATAATGAATACATTTTTCTTCGTAAACAAATATATTCATTTCTTTTGTAAATAATACACAATTAACATGTTTCTGAAATGCAAATTTGGCAAAAAAGTATTTTTTCAAACCAACTTTTGAGTGCTTATTACAGCTCAAGCAATCGAATTACAGAAGGAGTTTATTACACCAAATATGCTTAAAATTGACTTAAGAACTTGTTTTCAAAGTTTTGTTGTTTCCTCCCTGGACACCATGTATATACACATATGCATAAGGTAAGGATATCCTTCTTTCCAACACATACATAATGCGACATATTAGTTGGCCTTTAGTTCTGGATGATCAATTTAAATGTGAAATTATGTCTTTATCTTATCTGTATGTCTGTATGATGAGCTGCAAATAATACAAGCAGTTTACAAGAGAGTATGTGCTGTTGTAGCACCACTAGTTCGGGTTTAACATGCCACTCATGACACCCTCACACCACCAGCTGTGCAGCAAGAAAACAAAAATTTCCTTATGCTTTCAAAACAACAAAACCTTTTGAATTTGCATTTTTCACAAGGTGCAGCAATTTACACCTTTAATTTTCAAAAATTTCTGTGTAGGCTAACCATGCATAATATGTTGGTGTAACAAATTGGTGTAGTGTGTTTGATTGTTATTCATGTAATCGTTGCTTCAGGGTTAACTGCATTATTTGTGACTTCGAAGATGGAGAGAAAAAGAACCCGTCATGGTGAATAAAGGTAATATTTTCTGAATGAAATGAAATAATTATTTATTAACTCAAAGATTTCTGTGTATTATTCTCAATTTTAACGTGTGAATGTTATTAGCTGCTCACATCTACGATTATATGGAAATTATTTCTCTTACAATAGGAATGTTGCAAAAACAGAACTTGGGGCTCATAAAACACTTTTGCCTACATCAACATTTCTGTTTTCAAGAAACTTACTACTAACAAAATTTTGGCTACTAATAAAAATTTTGAAGTATAAGAAAATGCTGATAGTTTTATCGTATATTTTTGGTTTTCCTGACATTAGGGTAGACAGCAAAGGACAGTGCCGATGAAGATCTTGGTGGGACATACAACAATTTGCCAGGCAAACAGCTACCCGCACAAGGAGAACTGATGATAAGAATAAGAGTGATTACATACAAATATCTAAATGTTTTTACATCAGCAGCACAACAGCATGGCCACAAAATGAAAATGAAGCAAAATACAAATTAATGATTATGGTTGTAGAAAGAACTTTCAAATAAAAACAAAATAAGGAATAAAGTAAATGGAAATGAGTCATCTGTGCTCAGACCAATGTTTATTTTTTATGCTCAATCTCGTGAGCTCTTTAGTCTATTTTTTCCAATGATCTATTTGAATTTATTGCACGGCAGTGTGTTATTTTGCTGTACAAAAAAGTAAATCAAGTTTTGAAATATATTTAGTATTTCAGTGCTCGGGAAGGAACGGGTTAACCACACTCAGAAAAACAGAGACAGACATTTTGTGGTATACCAACTTTTTAGTATAAAGTACTGATAAAACATGGATTCTGAATACAATCATGAAGAAGACAAATTTCATAAGTGGAAGATTTATCTACTTCTTCAATATCAGAAATTCACAATACACGTTTTCCTAATGAAAAATTTCCACATTCTGCTGCAGCATTAATTTTTTTTTTCCATGTAAGTACATAATATTCAAGAAAATAAGAATTGTTCACAAACATTCTTCACAGATAATGGTAATAATAAAAATAATAATAGTAGTAGTAGTAATAACAACAACAACAACAACAACAACAACAACAACAATAATAATAATAATAATAATAATAATAATAATAATAATAATAATAATAATGATATTAAAATTATTTACAATTATAAGAGGTGAAAACCATGAAACCATTTATGTTCCTTCATAAACAAATAATATAAACGTTATATAAAAATGAATGTACCTTATTTTTCACAAATATGCGCCTGATGTGTGTCAGAGATGATTGAGATTTTTCATGGGAATTTTCTGATATCTGAAAAGAAAAAAAAAGGGGGAAAAAATTACGAATGTTCCAAAATAATGTATCACTTCAATACATGTTTCCATTTTCTTTCAGAGTTTCATACCTTATTGAAAGAATTTAAATTCTGAATAGGAGGTAATGTTAAATGACGTAATAATTTCAGTGGAGTATTAGGAGCTGAGATTTGTTTTGAATTCACAATAACTGATGAATTTTCCATATTATCTTCATTTTCATGAGATGGCTTTAACAGTTTATCATACTCTGGACTTATACAGCTAAATCTTCTATCCAATATTCCAGGTCTCTTTCTATCGGCAGCACTATGAAATCCTCTCTTTTCCAACATTTTTGTTTTAGTGTTAAAAAAATCTGAATTTAAAGGTTTTGGAAATCCTAAAACTGCAAATGAATTTTCAGGTGTAATATAAATTTTGTCTTCTGGTATGACATTGATGTTAGATAAAAATCGTTTTGGTTGAACACTAGGTTCAGTTTGATCACCAGATATATGCATTTTCTTTCCCATTTCTGAATTCAATGTTTTTGGAGATCGATGAATGGATCTACCAGATATTTGTAAAGCTCGACCTAAATCTTCACTAAGATTTGCTAAAGTTGAAACAGCATCTTCAGCTGGTGGAGTGACTATGTTCTGCCTGACCTCTGCATACTCCCTGCATTGGTCTTGCTCAAATGACTTTAGAGCTTCTGATAGAGCATGAAACGTAAGTTGTTCCAGAGCAGTCGTTTTTACTTTTTCAGTCAGATTTCCACTTTGGTCAGAACTGGGAGTAGATAAAGAATCACCACTCTCAGCAGAGGTTTCAATTTTCAAGAAATCTTCAACAAACCCATGACTAGCAATAACTTCTTCGTTATCTCCACTGTATTCATTTACCAATTCTTTTAGATGAACTGATGTTGAGTCAACAAAAGAAGGCTGTTTTCCTATTACTCTGAAACAACCAAAATTTAGTCTCATTCCCTCTGCTTGAAAAATGAATTACAATAAAAATATAAAAAAGTAATGTATTAATTCATACAAGAATTCCATTCTTTTCATTTTTTAAAACTTATCTTACAAGAATTCAAGAGAAATATATCTCTAGAATGCCATCCAAATATTCTTGAATCCACTATACTTTCTGGTGACAGATAATATAGTACACTTTTATTTCCCATAATTTCCTTCCTTCCAGAATACTGTGTTTTTTTTAGTTTCCCAATTTACAAATGTTCCAGATGGGAATCATATTTAAAAAATTTCCAGAAAGTAATATACTGTATTTATCTGAATATAAGACGTTCTTTTTCCCTAAATATCGGATTCAAAAAACATGGGGTCTCCTTATATTCGGAGATGAAATGTAATTGGTTAGGGTTTACATTCAAGTTTTTTGACTTTCCATGTCAAGAAACTAGGAAACCCAGGAAGTAATAAGTTGCAAATACGCTAAATATCACGGGTATCAACAATACTACATAATTATATTTGTGGGTACATTTTTGGTATCCACAGCAAATTTCCTAGGCAATCCAGACCAAAAATTTTGTTCAAAAGTGAACATGCTGGAACATGAGAGGATCTCAAACAAATGGCTTGGTGGTAAGGTAAATGCAACCTGAAAAAGAGTTAAAATCGTTGCAGTGTTTGTTACACAAAACCCTGATTGACACAAGTCCACACAGACTCTTTGTTCAATGCCCACCAAGTGCAAATATGTGTTTTTGCAACAGATGGAAATGAAAGAATTCACATCAATACAAGTTTGTATTCTCCATCCAATTACAGAGACTGAATGATAAAACAAAATTCCTTGAGCAAAAATCTTCTATAACTTGGAAACTTTTCATTCTTTTCAGTAATACCAGTGAACCAGAGATAAACGAGTTCGCAGTTATTATGCGAACATGACACGATATTCATTTTGAGTATGTTTTGTGAAGGAATATGAAAGCACTGTAAGAAAAAAAGAGGCCTAAATAAGAGTGTGACAGAACGAAAATCTAGCGTTTCATAAGGGAATGTAGATGGAGTGAGATGAAAGACGAACCCAAATTCCATATGCAAATCTTACAGGGAAGCTTAAAAATCAGGGAACGACATAGAATGGGAGTAGGATCAAAAATAAAGAAACAATGGTAAATATGAACATGAAGATGGCAGTAGCAAAAAACATGATGGCGATTGTTTTAAGAAACCAGAAAATATTGAAAGATCAAACGATGTTTTCAATATTTTCATTAGTAAGACAATTTTCTAAACAATTTGCAATTTTATTTTGACTGAATAGTAAGAATTAGTCTCTCTCCTTTTGTTTTTATTTTAAATTTCAAGAGGTCTTCTCAAATGAAGGGGTTGTCTTATATTCAGGTAAATATGGTATACACATAATTCAGTTTCATAGCCTTTGTGACGTTCAGTCATATCCAATTTTTTTATATTCCACAACAATTATAACCATCCTCATTTCCTCAAAAATATACATTGCTTTCATACAAAACCTTAAATAAATGTGACTGCTTTTCCAGGCCATACATTCACTTGAAAGCTCTTCATCTTTCACCTTAGCAGACTCTTCACCATATAATGCCATTTCCAATTCTTCAAATAATTCTCTAGTTTTTGCTGCTCCTTGTACTTCAATTTCCTAACAATAAATGAAAATTAATGAAGGTTTATGTTTATAGTTACAAAATTAATTTCAATGCCAGTATTGCTATTAATTTAATTGCAGGTACTGCTAGCTTTTCTCTTCGAAAATTGTGAAAAGAAAATTCAAAACTACAAAATCAAAGATAGAAATTTTTGCTTCAGGCAAAATCTGTTGGATAAAATTAGCTCTTAATTAATAATAATTAGTTAAATCTTAATTAATTAGTTAAATCTTAATAAAATTAGGTCATGTACGAGTTGTTTTTAAAAATGAGTAGTTTTGGTGTTATTTCTGGTTGAAATTAATGAAATATACATGTTTCACATCACTATGGGCCATAAAGAAAACTGAACAAATTATATGAAAAACAATTAAAAAGTAATATTCAGATGATTAACTTGGAATATTTATTAATTTGAGCGTTTCTTTCAGGGCCTCAAGACAATTCTAATTTCAAAGATTTATCTTGATGGATATGCGCGGTGTTGCCGACTTCTTTAAGTTATAATATGCAAAATAAAAATGGGCTATTATATCACTTATTAATGTTTATCGTTTGCCTATTTAGTTGTTATTTATTTTTCGTATCTTTTAATTAGAGACAATCATTGGATCAATTAAATCGGAAACAAGTCACTTGAAAACATATATATACGGATTCCACGATCACCACACTTCGACACACTTGTAATAACTTCGCCTAATATGGTATCTCTGTACTGCACTTCAAGACTCCAGTTTTTCCTTTGCGTCACAACGAAATTTTTGGAATTAATGATTAAATTAGAAATTACGAACGAACTGAAGCCAGTGTAATTCGTTATGTTGTTTACGTCTAAATTTTTTCGTGTATTTATTTATTTTTGTGTTTAAAGAATGTAATACTACAGGAGCAAGATTTTTTTTTTTTTAATTTGTCGCCTCTGAATTAACGTAAAGTCTCCAAGCCCCGGAGTGCATTGAGCGCTTTTCGCTTGGGCTATTTATAGGAGTAATCCTCCATTAACATTATGTCATTTAATATCAGGTCTCGTCGCAGTCAGTTGTCAAGAGGACCGCCAGGTAGCATTTCCGCGTCCGCCCTCCTGCGTCACTACCCAGTAGCCAGAATTGGGAAGGAATTAAGATAGAGGTAGGGTTTCGGTCACTTCACAGGGGTTGAAGCATGTTAAGCATGCAAACTCGTTTTTTCGAAACAATTTTCACATGAGGTTCTATGGGAACCTCCCGGAACCTCAGTGGTGAAAGGCAAGCGACTTCGCCACTGAGAGCCATTATTTGTAATATAATACGTTATTACGAATAGTAAAGTGATTAAGATAAATATTACATTTAAAAATTAATTGTCTGAACCGAATAGAAAATAAAACATTTGTATAATGCATATAAGGTAATGAATGCGTTGTTTCGAATGTATTCATAATGGAATATATTGGATGGCATTTATTTCTGGGTGTCCCATTTATTTGCGAAACTACTCTTGCTTGTCTGCGTGGTGTTCTGGAAATAAAAACATGTTTATAATTAACAAATTATTTAAAAATTATAGAATTTGATGAAATTATAGATAAGTTCGCCGCTCTTATATCTCGGAAGGTGCTTTTTATATTAAAAAAACATGGATCTGATAATTAGTTTTACTTCATTTTAGATAATTATTTAAAAATTTAATTTCAATTATTCTGAATTTTATACGATTTTTAATATACTATAAATAAATGACATGTGCAAATATAGTATATATTTTTATTATAATGTGTAAACTATTCATTAATAGATATTTTTATACTTAATGTTTGGGAGGTTGATACCATGTGTATTTACAATGGAATCTCGTTGGTTCGTTTTTCAAGGGACTGAAAATCTTGAACGTTGTAAGCGGGAAAACGTGCTAACGTAAAATGCTCAATTTATAGTACTTACATTTCACATTTCCGTCTACAAAACTACCATAATACAGAAAACTAATGTTTTCGTAAAAAACACGCAAATATCAATGAGATGAACTAATTTTCTCATAAATTACATTAAATAAAACTAAATTTCAACAAATAAAAAAAGCACTTAAAGTAACGCACATTAACAGAAAAAATTAAATATTTTATACAGTTTAAAAAATTGATCAATTAAAAATTGATGTTTTTCTCTCGCTTCAGAATTCACTCCTCTCATTGCTTCAAAATTACATTGTCCTTGGTACCCGTAAGTACCAGCGAACGACACACATTGAAGATTGCGCTGATGCATCGGAAAACGCCGGGAGCAAGTTACCCACAAACTCCGAACCAGCTTGGAAATTGCTAAGCGGGAATGTTGAACGTGTAAACGAATAATTTGGTGGAATTGGGGCTGGAACTTGAAAATATGAACATACAAGCGGGAAAACGTGTTTAATTTAGTTATTTATTTTGTCAAAAATTATGTAAAAACTCTTTATGACATGGCAGAGAAGTGTAATCTGTGCAAGGTTTCTTGAGCTCCAGAATTCCTACCTTCCCTATTATACTATAGTAAGTTGAATTATAAACACACATAGCAAAATAGCAGGCTTTTAACAAAATTTGATAACCAGAAATATTCACCCTCTTAGAAAAAAAACTATTTGCAATGGCAAATGTGCTACAGATTTTGGCTATTATCTCTTATCATGCTCCATGTGACATAATCATCTTACTACCATGAGAATACAGAGAATAATTTTATAAATTTTGCCTCAGGATCTTTTAAGGGTGTGTACGTGAACGTAAGCAAATATTCTTACGCCCATGCACATAGCCATTAAATTCTAATTATAATTCCCAGACCCATATTTTATTCTCTGAAAAAATATTATGCATATGTTCAAGAACTCCATAAATATACCGAGGATTCCACCATGACTGACTAATACAAGCAGTCATTACAGTAGACAATGGTAAGAATTTATAAAATTCATACTTACATCAGCCCATGACAAAAAACTAGCACTACTGTTGTCCAAACTGGATCCATCTGTACCACCAAACTCAGAGAATAGTGTTTGTTCCAAATCAGAATCATCCTCCTGGTCAAATCTAGATGTTGAAGGAAATAGAAGTTACAATTCTAGATAGGAATTAAACTGAAAATTTCAATGAGAAAAAAACTGAAAACCTATTACTTAAATGTAAATTTTGAGAATAGAAACCAGTTTAATTTAAGGGAATTGATGTAATTAAATACAAAACACAAACTTGTCAATGTTTTACATTATTTAACTAATTCAAAATACATATGACAATGAAACTCTGATGATGTCCCATTTTAGCTAAAAGAAGAAATAATAATTACAATGAAAAGCAGAGTCAAATAGAAAATAAAGGAGCATACTAAAAAAAAAATAGAAATGCACTTCAAAATTGCTGAACTGTCTTGTGCCCCTAAATTTGTGGTGACAAGCACAGCTGTCTACCACAAGAGGTGAAGAACTTCTCTGCAGAACAGGAATCTAATGATCTGATTCACATTGGCCAAATAAAGATCTTTACAATGTACATACACGTCATGAATGATGAAACATCAGAACTATTTTCAAAAGGAATTGTGTAACTGTAGTGCTTTATTAGTTCTGTACATAAAGAACTTATAAGTATTTTTCTTTTTGAAGAATAGAGCATGAAATTTCTTGCAAATTTATTACCTTTTATAATTCAAGCTTAATTAAGGTATAACATAAGAGTGTATTTACTATGCAAAATTTCAGACTAGTCTCATAACATTATGTTTCCCTCAACACTCAAAACTATAAAGAAATCATCCAAACAATAAAAATCATTAACTACAATAACAAAACTTAATGCTAAAATATCAAAAGAATTATTGGAAAATCCAGAGATAATTGAATGAAAAATTAAACACAAAAAAATTACAGCCCAATATTGACATTTCTCCAACAAGAGAGAATAATAAACAAAAAGAATTTAAATGAGAGAAAATAGTGTAAATTTGTGATTAAATGTTCATATAATGTTCTACAAACTGACGTAATTTTATTACTCCTAAGTAGTATTATAATTATATCTTACTCTGAAATTTTGTTAAATCTATCCAGATAACTTTCTTCCAATGTTTGTGATGCCACAGGTAATGTGGAATTAAAATTAGAATACGACCAGGCACCATTTCTTGAAAATTGAAAATGTGATTGTTCAGCACCAACAATATCATTTACTGGAGTTGCATCATCAACGTTTTCAGGAAGAGGATGACCGTAAGTCAGTTTCACTTTAGGAACATTTTGTCTAAAGAAAACAAAATTTAGTAATGAATAATATTATATAGCACTGCCTGTAAAGAGAATTTGAAAACCTTACTCACAAAGTTCTCTTTGGAGGTTTCCAGGACATTTCATAAGTTTCTTTCATGTGAGAGTTTGGTAATCAACATATTGATTACTGCAAATATGTCGACGACAAAAAATTAATGAGCTTAAAATTAACTTCAAAAGGAAAACTTAAATATGTCCTGTCATATTATATTTTTATTTTCGTTTCGTATGTCAGTCTAGCATCTGGCCTCTTTTCGTGTTGTCGTCCTGCAGAGTCTAACGTTGAAATTATAAAAAAATAAAACGGCTCACTACATACGCTTTGAAATTTTATGGTGTTGATAAACAAATATAGCAGATCCAAATATTGCGGTTGAGTTTGTATTAACATTTCTTCAAGTTATAGCGCTTATAGGATGTAATGCCGTCTTGTGACAAGGATTTTCTTTCCGGAAACTTTTGATGCTAATACCTACATTTACCATGTGTGATTGATAATATCAGATGCAAAACCTTCGAATACCGTAGCGCATTGGTTGACTGTGCAAAGATTTAATGCAATGACTGAAAGCATATTCACGTCGCTCTTCATCGTAGCACATTGATGTGTTGAAAGGAATATATTAAAAGAACTGCGTAAACAACTGAAATCTAAACATTGTCATTTGCATATCTAGTTCACCGCTGATCACGATAGAAAAAAAATTGCCTAAACTTTACAAGTGTTTACGATAGCCCCAGTGCGTTCGTTCATTTCTTCCCTTGTCAAGCGAAAGGTTCACAAACCGGATATTCGATGCATGACGTCGACTGCTTGCCAACTGTTTCGGGCTGACGTCTCGTCTGCCAGAGAGTGGCCAGAGAGAATATAATTGACGTCTCGTCTCTCTCACGGCGAGCAGTTCGTGAACTGCGAGCATTATTTTGGTGTTTTTCTGCAGCTTGCTCCAATTTGCCGTCATTAAGGTATGATTATTATGTCACTAAATGAACGGAATTGTTGTTTTAGATTACTGGAAGTATTTCGACGTCGTGAAAGATAGAAAATATGTTGAATAGCCTCGTTGCTGTTCAAGAGGAATCGTGAGCGACAGTACTGGAGACACATTTTTGTTCATATGGTGCTTTTTGTCTATCGCTCTTTACGTTTCTGAGCATACTTTCTGTGTAAAAACCGTTTAAAATAACTTGGAATATAAAAGTCATTCAAGGACTTTTAAATATCTTCCCACGGCGCATGGGAAAATTGTTTAAAGAAGCTGAGTCATAACCTGTAGCTTAGTCTATAGTAGGCTGCTCACAGTGAAATAATTTACTAGTGACTAAAATAGTTTTGGTGCCTTTGTTACAGTTCACGACATGTTTCTATGGGATTGGTTCACAGGTGTTCTAGGATACTTAGGTAAGTCATAGTATAAAAGTTGAATTTGTGTTATGTTAGTAGATTACTCATAAAATCTCTTTTATATTGATGTTCACATGTATTATTTTAATCTCTGGAAAAAAATCGTTTTAAAGGCTTAAACATAATTTCAAATGTTTAAAAAAAGGATTAGTATGTTTGTTTTATAAGGGTTGGTTTTCAAAAATGGAAATTTACACTACTAAATCTGCTTGACTATTTTTATATGTAGGATGTAATAGGATATTCAGAAGACTGACTTGGTGTGTCGCGTATTAAGTTTTACTCATTAAAGTTCTCTGTTCATTTATTAAGATGGCCAATGCTTTTTTATTATTTGTTTAATAGAAATGTTTGTTTTAAGTTCAAACGAAAAGTACCAGTTCATTCTTGAATGTTATATCAATGACTGTCCTGCTGACTTGTAGTAATAGGTGTAGATTAAGTATAATGAAATGTAATAGACTTTACAATTCTAACTAATCCATTCTCAGATTGAAAGTATTAGTGAAGCAACCATTGAGTTGTTAATAAGAATTAACCATACTGATTTTTCACTTAATAAGAAGGATTATTATTATTTTTCCATAGAAACAATTTCAAAATGTTAATTATTATCCACTCAATTAAGGGATGTTAGATATAACATTAGATTGTTAAATTCCAAATGACTTAATGATTTTTGTTAAAGTGTTGCATGTCTTTTACTCACCGCACGCATGTAAGTAAAGGCCCATAGTAAAGAAACAATTGTTTTTATTATTTCTATTAAAAGGTTGGAATGCCCCAAAAGGTAGATACGCGTTTTTGGGAGTGGGAGGAGCTGGAAAGAAAACGTTAATGGAAGCAATGGTACAGGATGGTTTCATCGATCCTGTGCCATATTCATGTAAGTTATATAGTTAGTTTATGCATGTATTTGGCTTTTCACAGGCTTATGGAAAAAATCAGGGAAGCTGCTCTTCTTAGGGCTGGATAATGCAGGCAAAACCACTCTACTTCACATGCTCAAGGATGATCGATTAGCTCAGCATGTACCAACCCTGCATCCAAGTAAGATAAATCCTTTTAATGAAAGAACCTATGCCTATGCTCTTAATAGCAACTGTGTGGTTTGCATTTTTCTGTATAAATTGTTTTTTCTCAATTTGCATAAAATTGTGTAAATATTGTATGTTTTAAGTATGAAAAATTGGTATCTTAACTTTTTGACCATTCTGGAACTTAAAGAAATTTTATTGTAAAAAAATTGTGTGTGAACATGTAGTAGAATAAATAAGGTTTGAGTAACTGAAAAATAATAATATTCTATGATTGTCCTTGTTACAGCTTCAGAGGAACTATCAATAGGAAATATGCGATTCACTACATTTGACTTAGGTGGCCATCATCAAGGTAAGAGATCTGTACAGTAGAGCTAGATCTTTCACTTTGGCTTCTAAAAATCATAATTATAATTGTTTTGTTTTGCAGCGAGACGTGTCTGGAAAGACTATTTCCCAGCTGTAGATGCTATTGTGTTTCTGGTTGATGCTTGTGATAGAGGCCGTTTCGTTGAGAGCAAGGCTGAGCTGGACTCTCTTCTGTCAGACGAACAGCTGAGCAACTGTCCAGTTCTCGTTTTAGGAAACAAAATTGATCGTCCTGGCGCTGCATCTGAAGATGAACTGAGAACTTTCTTTGAACTCTATAACCAAACTACTGGAAAGGTAATATCATATAGTGTAATTTTCTATGAACTTCAAATTGCATTTTTCCAGCACTTTACTTTTGAGACAAAAGTGTGTATGACTTAAGTTTGTTTTCTGTAGCTATAACACAAATCTTTCAACATTTTGGGCTACTTTTTGCCCTAATGAATATTGTTGAATGTAGCTTTGCAACATAATAGTTTATTATCTTGTTGGTATTAGATATTTATGAAATGCTTCCTTTATTCCAGGGTAAAGTACCACGATCAGAACTTCCAGGACGTCCTTTGGAGTTGTTCATGTGTTCCGTCCTGAAGCGACAAGGTTATGGTGAAGGTTTCCGGTGGCTCGCTCAATACATTGACTGATGTGGTGCTGACCTTTAACATGATCCTCTTTGTACGAATTGTGTGATGTGGAAAACATACCAACAGTGTATAATTGCTGTTGAGGTCAGGTATATTTAGGAATTTTGTAAAAACAGCTCTTGCATCTCTGCATAAGCTTCACAGATTTACCCATTTGAAATGTGCTGTTCTGCTATGTCTGTCTTGTAGTTCACATTTTATGTAATACTCATTCTTGGTTTTTAAAAGTCTGTTATACAAATTTCTCCTTTCTGGTACTTTGTTGAAATTCCTTCAGATATGAGAACAGCATCTCCCTCTGAGGTAGAACATTTACTGGCATAACTTTTCTAGAAATTGCTTGGCAATTTGTGAAATACAACCCAGTCCTAGGCGTGAATTTCATTGATGAAATCAAATGTATCTCAAGCAATGAGTGCATCTGTCAAAGTGAAGTGGAAATTCCTGAAATTCACCCAGTTTTAACTTGCTTAGATTCAGAGGACAGAAGAGGGTTGTTTTTTTGTATATGAAAATAAATTGTTATGTGATTCAAGTCCATGTAAACATGAGTGTTAGCAATTTTTTTTAATACCTTAATACCAGAATTCCAAAGTAGCCTTTGTAGATGTCCCACTCTTCCTACTTTTACTGTGTAATGGAACTGATGAAACCTATTCAGAAGCGTTGTGAACATGTGCTAGTGAGCAATTTGAAAGAGTACGTCTGAAACCAAAACAGCTAAAATAAGTTCCAAGTGCTGTGAACTCAAGAAGTAGTGCTCTCTTTAAGTGAAATGCTTGCAGTAGGCATCAGTATGTCTTGTAGCTAATGTTGCTCGATTCACATATCTTAGGGTCGTGTGTTCTACTTTAAATTATTTTTAGAAAAGAGCTGACCTTTCACAATGTGAAATAGTTTTAATCATCAAAGCACATATTTATACTCTCTCACATGTTGCGTAATGTATGTCCAATTTCAGTAATAAAATGCTCTTGTCATAATGAGAATTTTTACGATATCATGGATTGTTATTTTATACATGGATGTGTTTATATTTGTCAGCTCCATATATTCTATTCCTTGTGTAAATAATGTTTTAACAACAAATAAATTGGAGATGGCATTTGTCCCAGCTTATTGTACAATTTACGAACTGTAAGCATTTATACATGTTCCATTAACATTACATTTAATACTAACAATCTGTATGACTGTTAGAAATTCAAAAAAAAATGGTTTTACTGCTTAACTAATACTTTTAGACGTTGTTCCACAATAGGCCTCGGTGATATGGTTCTAAACTCAAAATTGATGGTTTTAACAACATATGCTAAAAGTCTTCCTTGAGAAATATGTCACGAATTACAAAACATGGATTGGGATGTTTTGTATATTATTGGGAATAATTTGTCTGTTAGATTTGAACATAAATTCTCACAAAACTAAGCTTAGCAAATGCTATATGATTTAACATTTAATTTTTTCAAAATGGTTGAATTGGGACAGTCCTTTACGTATCGTGATCGACATGACTAGGAAACATTAAGTGCAAAGGCATTTACTATTTGGATGGCCGGGAGGTGCTGTGTCCTAGGCACAGATGCCTTAAGAATGTGCTTAGTACCGGTGCTGAGGATCCAGCATCTGCTAGTCAACCAGATAGTTACTTAATAACAATTTTTTCCATTTCATTCATTCGTTCATTGAATGACAGCCACTTTACTATTCATATCAACTAACCATAATCTATCCTATTCCTATTAATGAATCCCAACCTGTAAATTGTCAAGTAAATATCTGCATTTCTATTAATAACTAATGTGATTTCTTAGTTATGGAATGAGAACAGCAATTTACTTACTGCGATTTCCTTTATATTATTATACAGTCAAACAATCTCATTTCTATGAACCATTTCAAACTACATGAACACTGATTTAGTGTGATGTCTGAGACCTTAAATTATTGAACATTTTCTGTTATATGAAGTTATAATTTATTCATTTTCAAATGCTGGAAAGGGAAAGCATAAATGGGAATTTTATGCCCTAATGTTCCTAATCTATACTGGTGATTTTTAAACTGTTTGCAAAGAATGGTCACAACAAAATTATTACATATTTGTGCTTGTAACATTCAGAATTATGAAATCATTTTAAACAATTTTTTTTATAAAATTTGGTGACAATCAAGAATTTTTTAAAAGAGGGGAAAAAACTCAATTTGGCCAGTGTTTGATGTACTGCTGCACATTTATCAAACAGGCAATTATTTTGGTTATTTTGCTTAAGATATTTTTTCATAAATATATAGGAAACAAAGTTCTCAGTGAAAGGAAAGACCTACTTTTAGATTCACGAACGATAGATCACATAACTTAATTATAGGTTGAAAATATTGACAGCTCTCCATTCATATCTCGCCCTTGCTGCACCTACGTAGTGCTACGCCGAAACAAGAGCAGTTCCAAATTCAATTATAGATGACTGGCGAGAAAGTCTCGCAGCCCATTGGTAAAGAACAGCACGTGGCTCGGTGATGGCAACAGTCGTGATCCAACCCGGCGATGTACGTCATAGATTAACACCATGGCCACAGTGACCATGGTTATTCGTCCATGGCCACGTTGGGCAGAAAGGCGCGTTGTCGAGCCAACCGAGATTCGAATAGACGAAAATAACTTGGCGAGTTCAATCTCGGTGTTTCCCTTTTGTTTGGACTAGCGACGCTTTTGCATACTAACCGCAAGCCGCTTTTCAGTTAAGAAAAAAATATCAGCGAAAGAGGAAAGATATAAATTAAACGGGTCAAAAAAGCAATCACAATTTCATGAATGAATAATGTATATAATAGCTTCTCTAATAACTAGTGGCGCTAAATCAGCACGTACTTTCTCGTCATTAGTAATGGTTAAGTAATGCTATTTATGCCACATTTTTTCTCCGAATTATTGTTTGTAAAACTCATTTGAAATCGTAAAACATTTGTTGCGAAAAATAAGCAGAATGCGTGAAAGTAAAATAATTAAAATTAATTTAACAATACGATACTGGTAGGGTTGACGAGGCAAACAAGTAGATCGAAAAATATATAATAGTAATTACTAAACACTATGGTATTGTAATGTTCTACTAATATTGGATTCGTTTTTATTAACCCCCAAACAAATTTAGCCGTCATTATCTAACTTTGATATTTTTGCGGCGTAACAACCAACAATGACCGCTCATCTATTCGTTTTCACATTTAATACAATGAAAGGACGCAATTTAAAATGATGTAACTTAAATATAATAAAATAATATTAAAATGAAATATGAAATAATGAATAAATTCTAACTTATGTAGCACCCACGTGCCTCAAAACATTTAAAATTACCTATTGCATCTGTGTATATTTTCACTTATTTTATGTTTTAAGGCTAGGTTTTTCAGTTTTTGTATGATCACAAAAACATGAATTGTAAATTAAAAAAAACAACTTATTTTTAATAAATCATGCCACACACAAAATACTAAATAGGAGTACACAGATAACGTATAAACCCAGTATTGATAACCATAACAACTGGTTATTGATGGTTAGTAATTCCATGAAACTACAGTGGACATTATTTTTAAAAAATGGGAATAAAATATTATTATTAAATTTTGGTTAAGAAGCGAAGGTTTTCAGAGCAGACGACTAAATTTGACGCCCAATTATTCAATTAATAAAATGTGTATCTTCATAATTGTACTTGTAGGAAGACGCCAACAAAATTTTCAATTTTCGAAAAATCAGAGTTTTTAACCCACATAAGACCTGCACCATTTTCTTAAACGTCCTTCAGACTATTCACCAACAAAATTTCATCAAAAACGATGAAGTAGTTTTTGAGAAAAAATGTTTAAACAAAATTAAAAATTGTCTCTTTCACGCAAAAACACGTGAAAAATATTCACAAAAATGTACACGACTTTATTTCAAAATCTATCTTTAACGAAAAGATTTTATTAAGGGAAAAATTTATATCTAAAATATTTTAGTTGTAGGCAGACGCCGAAAATTTTTTAACTTTTGTAAGTTTCGATAAATCAGAGTTTTTAACCAACATGAAACCTTCACCATTCTCTTGGACGTCCTTCATACTATCCAACTACAAAATTTAATCAAAATCGATGGCGCCATTTTTTAATGTCCCATGGGCTTCATATAAAGTACTCCCCGAAATTAAAATATTGATTTCAAATTCAAGGAGCCACGACATCTGCCAAATCGATTAGGGAATACATATTTTGGAGAAAATCGGCTGAACGGTTCAGCGGCTAACGTTGTTCACAGATAAACCATTGATCAACACAACACAGTATTCATCCATGCACAGACTGATGGAGAGCAAAACAGAAAATTACATTTTATTTTATATGCTTGGCGAGACAGAATCAGTTGCTTGTGCAAAACGTTACAGCAACAGGATGCGTGGGCGCGTCTCGCCAGTCTGATAATCGCGACGACGCTTCTCGGAATATCTACGCGTCCGATCACGCCAAGCTGAGGCAACTGTTATTAACCGAACCCAATGAATCTTCTGTTCCAGAAGGTTCTCGAATCTATTCCAAACGCTAATTGGTAATAGGTTCCGCAGTCTGCTTCCTCTGATGCGCAGGAAATTTTGACGATGCAACCGCCGCCTACAAAAATCAGATCGGCAGAGATCATGCGAAACACACGTATGTGATTCGTGTCCACAGCGCTCTGAGTAAGACACGAGTTTTTGCACGTAAATTCTGACGTAAGTCATAGTCTTTTAAGTTTCGAAGTCTTGTAATGAGCAACAAATAATTGCGCAAACTTAACTATTAGTTTGTGTCGCAACCTGAATTGAACACGGCATTGAGCATGTCCCCTCAGATTAGAACGATGCACCAACTTCACGTTGTTGTTTTTTTTTTATTTGTTTTTTTTTATGTTCCGTGAGGAACATCGCTGTGTTAGGTTTTCACTGCACTGAACTGTGTAACACATGAAAGAATTGAACCGTATATTCAGGTATTAATGCCAGTGAAGTGTGACTAAGCAAAAACTTGTTTGTGCAATATTTTGTTTCTGTGAAACCGGAAATACATACTGTAACCAGCATGCTATCAAATGGATTCGAAGATTGCTCCGCTTGACAATTAATAAATCTGTCAATCAATACAGTTCACTAAACCGCAAATAATTGGAGCAGCCTCGAACATGGTCCTTCGAGCTGGATATCTAACCAGAGATCTACGGACAAGATCTGAGTACTTTCGCCATGGTCCTCTCGAGCAGCAGATACGGACTTGCGGCCTACAGAGACGCACAATCTACGGAAAAGCAGCCAAAAGTACCATCCGCCCGCCTTCGCGGGCTAAGCCAAACCAGAGACTCCAAGATCACTAAACTACCAGCTTCTTGGGACTTCAAGAAAGAAGTTATCGAGTGAAAAATTTGTGTTGCGCTGTAGTGATTGAGTGCACTAATTAATGGTCTCCAAGAACAGTGCAACAGTGAACTTTCTCTCCATTCACAAATTGTGTGGTGAAAATTAATGCCAGTGAAGTGTGACTAAGAATAAAGTTGTTTGTGCTATACTTTGTTTATGTGAAACCTGCATGCTAACAAAGGGATTCGAAGACTGCTCCCCGATCGATCTCAATGAACTAGAGGGAGTTTCAAACGAATACTTTTATTATTAAGGGTACTTATGATAGAGCCTAAAAAATATTTTCAAAATGTTCTCCAAAATGACACCGTTATTGACCAAACCTTGTCTTCAAATAGAGTAAAGGACGCTTAAGTGAATATTAGCATATTAGTTAAAATATCGCATATTAGTCAAAATCTCAGTATTTTATTTTTTTACAATTGAAAAATTGTAATTTTTTGGATGGCGTCTTCCCACAAATATAATATTGAAGATAGATTTTTTTCATTATTGATACCTGTTCCTTAAAGAGGGACCTTTAAACAAGTTTATGTTCAATTTTTTTTAAAGCATGAGTCATTTTGGTGTAATTTGGCGCGAAATATTGGCAATTTAAAAAATTTAATATTTTTTTTTTATTTCTCAAAAATCACTCCAATTATTTTCTTTAGTATTTTCCAGACCTCGTTTTCGTTACCAGGGCTCGGCAGTAAGTTTTTCTGCCAAAAAATTGTCTTTTTGCCGATTACATAAATTTTCTCCTTACAAAGTAAGTGCAAGAAAGTAAAACATCGCTTTTTAACATCGATGTAACGGCCGATGTTTTTAACATCAAAGCTTTGTGTGCGATATTTTCTTCCGTTTACGATATTTAGTTTGTGAATGAAATATTCCCAAAATCATAAAAGTGAATTTTCACGGGTAAAAAAGGGTTGCCTTATAAATGGCGCAAGTGGTAATAAATGGCAGGAATATTCGAAAGTTGCAAAAGTTGTAAATAATCTATGATAATATTCACTGTTATAATACC